GAGATAGGGCTTGTTCGCTTCAAAACAGTTGGAAAACGGGCTGACGCCGTGCCATACCTAATCCTTCATCCGTATCGAACAAGACCATAAGTTTGACGCTAACCAAGACATCTATGTCTTGGAAAGTGGGTGCAAGGGCGCACACATCGTACGTAATTCTGGATTCTGGTTCCTCCCCAGCCACATAGTTCTATGGAAAATCCACGTATTTTGAGAATGAATCAGGGCACTCATAGCTGTACCATCCGCCTCGGAGGAAGAGGTGCAGAATGTCATTTTTGACCGCTTGCTTGCAAGCGCAATATAAATACGTAAATGAGCACCAAACGGCGCAACAGTGTCCAGCAGCAGTGCTGGAGCGCGAGGTTTATAACCGGTTCTGTTGAACGGTGGTTCGTCTTTGGCCCCCTGCTGGAAGGAAATACTGATGCGGCCATTTTCCTATCGCTCCCTAGCTGGGGAATAATGCACGATTTTCATTCGTACAATGGGACAGTTCTGATGTAATGGACGCCGCTTTCTGTGCTTACGGTTCGGAAGTCTTTCCGGAGCAATCCCGCCTAGACTAACCCAGTTTTTCGTCCCGTCAAGATAGGCGTGGTTATTCTGACTAATTTCAAATTACAAGCAATGACGCATGGTTCAGAGGTAGGGTGTGTGGCGTATCCCAGCAATAAGGCAATGTTTTCATACTTTGATCTCAGAGTAAATAATTTATGTTGGTTCCACATTTAGGATGGGCGGTGAAACCAATGATGGGGAAGCTGCGGATGACTCGATTTCGCAATCAGAGGTTTCCATATTTTTATTCTTTATCATTCTCACATGACAGCACAAGTCCGGCTTTTTTGAACAGGTTTTTAAACGAACTCTTTTTGCTACACGAGAAATTATACTCACGTAAAGTAGGAGTTCGACGCATGTTTTGAAGAAGATGCAGGTTGACCTTCGGCTTGGCTTCCTATTTGTAGTGAAGAGGACGGGTTGGGTATGCTTCGGGGGAGGGGGGAAAGTAATGCAAGAAGCGCGTGTGGCTCCCGATTTATTCGTGTAGCCGTAGCATGGGGCGTGGCTCTGGCGTGCGTATCACATGTGCATCGGCTGGTGGACTTATAATGCACATGAAGCCGTAACAGTCCTCTGGACTGTTACGGCAGGAGTGTTACGCTTCTACGGTGTGTACTTGCCCATCTCACATACGGAACGTATTCACCTATCAGGTTCATCATACAATGTCGTTTCATGAGTCACGATCGAGGCTGGATTCCGGGAGTGTGTGACAAGACAATCGCGATTTGCCGTGCGAATTAGCGTCGCGTGCGATGTCGCTCCCGCATGTGATGATGTTTCTGGGACGTAGTTGGCGGCAATAGAACATGTAACCGATCGTAGCCACAACTTTCTTCGATGCCGTACTCTACATGAAATCCGGTGCTTGAATGACCGGGTAACGCGAATTAAAAAGCGAACGCCCATCGCTATGCGCGACGTAGCGGCAATTTACGATTGTCTTGACCTCGAATTTTATGTATTGTTTGCTCACGTATTCTATGAGGCGGGGACACAACGCAGCACTTCTATGGCTCTCCCGCTAACCGATCGAAACTCACGCTTAGCAGAGCGCCGACTGCTAGAATCGCCACGTTTAAGCCTCGAAAGCAGACCTAGTCGCACTGGCTAGGGACTAGATTAGGCAGCGTTCAAAGCTCGCAATGACGCGCATCGACGGGCTGTAATGCCCAAAGGCGCGCTACAGCTGCAACAACGTTCTAGGCTATAGACGCAAAAATAACCGCAGATATCCGGCGCCGATCGATTCCCGTCCGCGAACGCAGCCGCGGCCGATGGGCGAGAGAGTATGGTGTATAGGATGGTGTGTGTTGCATAGTCGCGCAGGGGTATGTGACAAGGAATCGTAATTCACCGCGCTAGTGGGCGTCGCGTGCGACGTCGCGCCCGCAAATGACGATGGTTCCAGGTAGTAATGGCGACAACAGGCAATTCAGAACCGAAAATAGTCATGAATGTCTACGATGACGGGGTCTACATGAAGTCCGGTGCTCCAATCGACAGGTTAACACGAGTTAAGAAAACGCCGCGCCCATCGCCGCCGCGGCGGAGCGGCAAATTCTGATTCTTTTGCCCGTCTCCCGTCACGCAGACTGGTTTCAGTCGGCACTGGCCTGCGACTGCGTTCGCGTCTATAACTTTAGAACGCTGTTGCAAGCAATTA